AGTTCCCAAACCTTGACCACAGAACCTTTTTTTACATTCAACATTGACAATTTCACATTTTTACATTTTTACATTGAACATTTACTAAGTCACATGTGCCCACAGAGCTCACATGTGCCCACGGAGCACACCTTGAGAATGCTCCATTGTTCCACGCTAGCAATGAGTGAAATCTTACTATATTTCTACAATTTTTTAATTTGGGGATATTAATGCATACCAGCAAATGGGAAAGCAATAAATCCATTTATTAAGCAAGCAAACAGTTGACTATATGCAACCTGCATCATTTGTAATTGATAAGCAATTATCTTTACTCTGTCAAAAACAATATTATTTCCTTCCAAGTACTCAGACTCCTAGGTATCGTACTTTCCAGAGAGCCCATGGGGTTTTAGGCCACCCTTCCCCAACCCAAGCTCATCAGAAAGTTTATTTCCTTGAAGAGTGAAGAGAAAAGGGGGAGGAAATTTACATTTTGCAAGATGGTCTCATACTTTAGTGCCATTGTTAATACTAATACAAGCCCAAGAGATTGGGCCAAATTTTACAGAAATGAGCAAAAACTTTTTCTTCAGATGTGATGCCTTCATGCTGAAACTTGATCATTAAGAGAAAAAGGAAAAGTGGAGCAATAAACTGGGTTATTTTAAGGAATGTTTTCCACACATGACCAACAACGTGTCACCTCTTCCTCCCCCCGCAATATGTCCCTGTTTTTTATACATTTCTGAACTCAGACGTCTGTGTGGATCTGCCACATAGGAGCAACAGCCTCTCAGGCTGTGAGCAGCGTCTGATGAAGCTTCAGTCGGGTATGAATGGTTGAAGCTCACATGGAGGGGTCCTCAGAAGTAGTAATCGTGGACTGAGGGCCTGGGAGCTACGTAAGGCAAACCCTGTCTTCAGGATGTGCACGGCAGCATCCTTTATCCTTTGGCTCTGGTACGATTTTCAGATGGGCAATTGTGAAACCAGGAAATGTGTTCTCAAATGACAAAAAGAAAAACAGAAACTTCTGTTGAGAAAGGGAGAAATGTCATTCCACTTTAAAGGAAATCCAATCATTAAAGACAAATTCTTCTCTTAAAAATCAAGAATCTGTATCATAACCTTTAAAACTTCCGCTTAAATGTTCGCAACATGCTCATTTTCCTCCACTTTTACGGATTTCTCTTAACCTTTATTCCAAATTATAGAATCTGATGTACATGCACTTCCCTAGATTTCTACAAGAAGGTAACGCCAGCCACTAACTATAACAAATGTGCACACACTCTACCAGGAGAGAAGTGACTAATGATCTCATAGCTGCTTTTGGGGTCTCAGTGACCTAGGGATGCCAGTTCTGCGAGCAAGAACATTTCCAAGCACGGGGCAGCAGAGACGTGCTAGTCACCAGACTGCTAGACCTTCTGCAGTCTGAAGAAAAGGTAGTTTTCCCTGGCAAACCCTGTCATTGACGTTCCCATCTGGCAAATGGCGCCTAGACTATTCCATCCTGGCTCCTTCCCACTGAAATTTAACTCGCCCTCCATTCTGCCAGCTCCCTGTATTTTCGGGTGCCACCTTTTCTATTCCCATCCAGATATACTCTGAATTTTCATCTTTTAACAAATCACCAAATCACAGTGCTTTGTGATCAGAACAATGTAGATAAATTTCTTGAATGAACAGATAAATTAAGCATCTTCTATGTGCCAGACACTGTACTATATGCTTTCCAAGTTGCAAATGATTGTTTTAAAGGAAATGAAAGATGAAATGAGTTAAGGAATAATAGATATATTAAAGAGTTTTAAAAAAAACCATTTTCCATATTATTTGAAAGGGAAATAAATTGCCTTAGAAATTATGCATATATACTATTTTTCATACGCATGTAGGTTTCCACATTCAATATCCATTAACGTTAACAATCACTTTATAAGCCTAATATTTCCTCCACTCTGCAGATAAGGAGAACGATGCTCTCTGGAGGTTATGTAACTTTCCCGAAACAATCCCATAGGTGGGTGGCAGAGCTGGGATTAAAACCGAGGTCTCTCTCTCTTCACAGTCCCCAGTGGGGACTGCAGTAAACGGAAGAGCACAGGCCCCATCTGACCCTCAGCAGCTCTAATTTTGCCAGGACAGAAATCAGGATTCTTAAGTGAAATCTCTAGATTTCCTTTTTTTTTTTCAAATTGGCAATAATTGGAAAAATTTTAAAATACTGTGCAGGACAACAAAACCACATCTATAAGCAAATGCTGACGTTCCATTTGACGTCTGACGAACCACCTGTTTCAGACCTCCGCTCTCCAACATTTTGCTCAGCTGAAATTACCCTACTGAACTAAGGTGACGCGTACCACAAAGACTACGAAAGGCAACATAAGAAGTCGCGTTGAGTTGGCGTCATTCCTCAGCTTATTTTCTTCAGGGGTTAGAATGTGAAAGAGAGAGGCTACTATACACTTCACAGACAATATCAAATTGAGCGGGTGTGGCCAAGCCCTTGATTTAATTACCTATTTCCAAATTTAATGTTGCACATTTTCTTTTTAACATTTTAATGTTTCTAAAATCTGTGCGTATCTTATCATCAATATCAAATAAAAATTCTTTACCTTTCTTTTTTCTTCTTTTCTTTTTTTTTTTTTTTTTTTTTGAGGAAGATTAGCCCTGAGCTAACTACAGCCAGTCCTCCTCTTTTTTGCTGAGGAAGCCTGGCCCTGAGCTAACATCCGTCCCCATCTTCCTCTACTTTATATGTGGGACACCTACCACAGCATGGCGTGCCAAGCGGCGCCATGTCTGCATCCAGGATCCGAACCCGCGAACCCCAGGCCACTGAGAAGCAGAACTTGCGAACTTAACCGCTGCGCCATGGGGCCGGCCCCCTTTCTTTTTTTTCTTTACCATATGTGCCAAAGGTTTATTTTACCATACTTTGCAAAGACGCAACTTTTGGTTTACACATCAGTTTCACTAGTTTTGCTTCCCACTTCAATAGTTTCTGCTTTTATCTTCACTAACTGTAATTATGAGGGTTGGCATTGTTATTCATTTGCTGGCTTAAGTTGAAAGCTTGATTCTTTTTTTCAGTGTGTGTCGTTCTTAATAAAATGCCATTTAAAGAATCACATTTTCCCCTGGACCCCACGAGGGTGATCTCCAACAGGCTTTGATATGAAGGATCTCCTTCATTATTCTTCAGTTCTTAGTTTATAACTTCCAAGTTAAAAGTTTGGAGTAAAATCAGAAGCATTTCCTAAGTTTTTATTCCATAATTCTTTGTCATCAATGTGGCGTCTGTGATATAAAATTTTTGAAATTTGTTTGAGTGTTCTTGTGTACATAATACATAAGTACATGATTGATTTTTGTAAATTTTCCAAATGTGATTTAAATGATCTTTAACTTCTATTGGTAGTTATATGTGCACACAAACACACATACGTATGTATATACTTGTCAATTGTGTTACTCATATCCTCCATGGCCATACTCAGTTTTGTCTCCTTGATTCATTTATTTCTCTCCTAAAGACTCATCTACACTCAGTGTCTCGTGGTAGGTGTTTCAGTTATACAAATAAGCAAGTTCTTTTCCCCTTTATCAATTTTTGATGTATGTATACATACATACATATATGCTATATTGACTATCATACCTTCTGAAGTAATTGATCCTTATATAAATATCAGAATTCTCCTCTTTTTCCCTTTAAATGTCTTTTGCCTTGAAATCTATTTTGTCTGAAATTAATACTAGTACACATGCTTTCTCTGTTATAGCACCTGATAAAGTCTTTGCTAATACATAAACAGATTATTTTTGAAATTTTAATTATATATTTGATATATTAAAAAATATGATAGCTATGTATAAATTAGTAGGTGTAACAATAAACATATGTGAACCCACAATCCTGATTATAGAGAAGAATTTACCAAAAATGTTGAAGCTTTCTGTGTCCTCCTTGTAAATACCCACTCACCTCCTATGCCATCCACCCAGGGGCAAACATTTTGTGAATTTGGTCTTTTCATCCTCTTGTTTAAAAAAAAAAGTTTTAGCAAATCTATCTGTATCCCTTGCAATACATCATTTGGTTCCACTTCTTTTCATACTTTATGTAAATGGACTAACACTTTCTGTTCTTCCATGACCTGTTTTTTCTTAATCTCATGTAACATTATATTTTTAAGAATCATTCAATGTTGTCACATGTTGCTGTAATTAATTCATTTTATTGTGATATCATATTCCATTGTGTTAATATTTTACAACTTGGTTATATATTCTCATGAAAGACATAACTGGCCTCTTTCCAATTTTTGGTTGTTTTGTTCGTTTTTTCTACTATAAGCATTCTTGAACATAAGCTCCTCATACATACATACAAGAGTTTCTCATCTAGGTTATATATTTGGGAGTGGAATTGCTGAGTCATAAAGTATGCATATATTCAAATATACGAGATAATACAAAATTGTTTTTTTCAAACTGGTTGAATAAATTTGTACTGTTTCTGATTGCTCCACGTTGTCATTACCATTCTATTTAATCTGTCTTTTTTTTGGTGGGGGCAGGAGGGGGGTTCATTAGATTGGTTTGCTAGGGCCACCATAAAAAAACCTCAGACTGAGTGGCTTAAAGAATAGAAATGTATTTCCTCACAGTTCTGGAGGCTGGGAGTCTAAAGTCAGGGCATCAGCAGGTTGATTTCTTCTGAGGCCTCTCTTGGCTCGCAGATGGCCATTTTCTGTGTCCTCATGCGGTCTTTTCTCTGTGTACACACATTCCTGGTGTCTCTTTGTGTGTCCAAATTTCCTCTTCTTATAAAAACACCAGTCTGAAGGGATTAGGGTCCAATCATATGACCTCATTTAACCTTAATTACTTATTTGAAAGTCCTATCTCCAAACACAGTCACACTCTGAGTTTGTGGGGGTTGGGGCTTCAACACATGAAACTAAGGGAACACAATTCAGCCCATAATATCTACTTACCGCTATCTCATTTTGAATTGAACTTGCATTTCTTTGGTTTACTAATGAGAACAAGCATCTTCATATTCTGATTGGCCATTAACATCGGTTAGTCTGTAAGATTGTTGTGCAAGTTTTTGCCCATTTTTCAATTGCGGTCTTTGCTCTCTAAAATGAAAAGGTTATAAAGAGTTATTTACGTATCCTGGATATTAATACTTTCTGGATTATGTGTGTTGCAAATATCCTCTCCCATTTTGCAGGTTATCATTTTATTTTCTTCATTGTGTCTAAATGAACAGAACTAATTATTAATGTATTGTATTTATCAAGACTTTCTTTTTATGGTTGGTATTCTTTGTGTCTTGTTTATGAAAATTTTCCCTAGGCTGAGGTCATGAAGATGTTCTTCAATATTGTCTTGTAAAAGGTTCATAGATTTTTCTTTTATATTTGCCTCTAATCTATCTTGAATTGATTTGTGTTTATAGTATGAGACAATTTTTTTCTTTTTTTCTATAAAGAATCAATTAACCCAGCACCACTTCCTGAAAAGTCCACAGGTTCATCACCAATCTACAGCAAGAGTAATAGTAATAACAATACCATGGCTTTCCTTCTTTCTGGATATTCCTTCCTGCAGTTGCTTGAATGTAACTGTTATTAGTAAGAGTAGGAGTCTTATACCTAGTAGCATGTAATGCTTTCCCCTACTGTATTATTAGCTCTCAGAGGGAAGGACTCTGTCCTTCTCATCTTTGTATCCCTCAGATAATATAGCAAAGAGGCTAGGTAGCAAAAGAGTGTAAAAGGACGCCATGGAGATTTCCATCTCAAGATGCTGAGTACATGTTGCAGTTTCCCACAGCTACAAATGTTTCTTGAGTTGAATTCATCTGAATTACTTGTATAAAGCTTATAAACCAATCACTATTATATTCTAGTTCTTGAGTGATATAATTTTTTAATTGAGACATAATTGACATATAGCTTTGTATTCCTTTCAGGTGTACAACATAGTGATTTGATATTTGTATATATTGCGGAATGATCACCACGAATAAGTCTAGTTAACATCTGTCGCCATAGTTACAAAAATTTTCCTTTCTTGTGGTGAGAACTAGAGTAATATAACTTTTTTTGGTCTATCCTTTCAGTGTTTTTTTTTTTTAAGTATGGTTTTTTTGTGTGTGTGAGGAAGATTGGCCCTGAGCTAACATCTGTTGCCAATCTTCCTCTTTTTGCTTGAGGAGGATCGCCGCTGAGCTAACGTCCTGTGCCAATCTTCCTCTATTTTATGTTGGATACCCCCACAGCGTGGCTTGGAAAGCAGTGCTAGGTCCATGTCCAGGATCTGAACCTGCGAACCCTGGCTGCCAAAGCAGAGTATGCAAGCTTACCCACTATGCCACCAGGCTGGCCCCAGTATTTTAATTTTTAAAGAAATCTCCATACTGTTTTCCATAGTGGTTGCACCAGTTTGCATTCCTACCAACAGTATGAGGGTTGCCTTTTTGGAGTGAAATGATTTTTAAAGAAGCGTGGCGTAAACAGAAATGTCTATCTTTATAACTCTAAGTTTTAAGGGGGTTCAAAACTATGGTCCAAAGCAATGTTTGTTAAATTTTTCATATCTTTTCTGATCTCCTGGGAGTCTTTTGTTCTCCCTCAACTAAACTGTCACCCGCACCATCCTTGTCTCCTGCCACCTTGCTGTCCACTGTTTCCTCTCTGCTCCTCTCCACACTGCCTGAGGTGTCCCCTCTCTCTACCACGAGGTCCCTGCACATACGAGCTTCCTCTTCTGCTTTCACTGATTCTCTCTTAAGAATAAACCTGTTCATCTTTTTGTCTTTTCCTCTCCTTAGAGAGAAGAAGAAAGACATGAACCTACGTGTTAATTTTTATCCTGTCAAGCTTAGAATAAGCATTTATAAGATAAATTGCAGACATTTAAAACATCTACTTGTTTTCTACTGAACACATCTACTTGTACAATATTCCTTTTTACTTTATCCAGGATAGACTTCACCTACTAAGAATTCCAGACCTACAGATTCTTCTTTGTCTACTTGATCTTGGTGTTGCTTATGTCTCTAGAACAGAGACCCTTTGAATATGAGAGCTTTTGACATTTACAGGACATTTTCTGGAAACAAAAGGGATTTATCAAACTTTGTCAAAGGCCAGTGCAAAGAGCTTTCAGCCCTGCCTTAGTTCACTAATGTTTGGGCTCAAAACCCCACAGTTTTAGGACTGCCATGTTCACTGTACCAGAAAAAGGAGACTTTTAACTCAATATTCACCATTCTTGTTATGCAAACAACAGAAAGACAGCACACATGAGGGGAGAACCAATAGCAAAACCAGGTAAGTGTTTGGAAATTGAACATTGGCTGTTTCCTCTATGTTTGCTTGGGTACATGGTACTGCATACCACAAAAGTCAATTCTTGGTCAAGGTTGAGGTTTATCAGTAGACCTTTGAAATTGGGTTGGAATTTCCCTCTTCAATCGGAACCCATCCACTTTATTTGAGAAATTCCTCACAGATTCAAGGATGTTTCTTCTGTATTATTTTACCAAACAAATTAACAACCTGGGGAAATCCTGCATGCAGTCATTGGGTATTTATGTTTTCTTTGTATGATTTTTAAAGTAATATCATCTGCTTGGAAAAGTTCGTCAGGATGATGAAAAGACTTCTCAAAGAAAGAGATTACCTACTCCAACTACTGTCCTGAAAATGCAATTTCTGAGAAGCCTAGGCAGTCCACATACGACACAGAGGGAAAGAACACCCAGCCTGGTGGTTCTTCTCCTGTTAGTAATCTTTCCCCCAGTTACTTGTTCACCGATATGTACTGAAGAACGGCTGTATTCATAGAACTTCACCCTCATTTCTTTAAGTCACTCGAAACATCTGTTTTATTTATTTTCTACTTTGAACCTAATGCATATAATGATAAGGGAATAATTCTGGGAGCTTGCAATTCCAAATGAACAAGTAGATACGACTACATTTCTGTATCATTTTCTGCCCCCCAAAAGTCACTTTTAATAGTTAGAAAAAGAAGCCGCTGCCAAGGTGTGTACTGTGTTTCTCTAAGGAAATTTACTTTCTCTTCTCCATGTTTGCGCCCTGGAAGCTGTTTGTCTGCTCCTTCACCTGTGGCTGAAAGGTGCAGAAAAGATGAAGCTTATAGTGCCCTTGTCCTTGTGTAGCAGGGATGCTGTGAGCTCCATCCAGCTCCCATCTCCCTGAAAACAGGGAGAAAATGACAGCCTTGGTGCCTAGGCCCGCTCTCCTGGCAGAAGCTGTTGTTTCTTGACTGCACTCTTTTGTGCCATTCCTCCAGTTGTCACAGTACTGTCTTACTGTTGTGTCAGCCAGGTCAGCTGAATGGGGGTCTACCTGTGTCTGTTTTAAAAATATTTTTAGTTCCCATAATTTCAAAAACATCTAGTTAAGTTGCCTGAATAGCTTGGTCTTTCAAGCTTTAAAATCAGTTGCCGTAGTAACAGATGTTCAAAGATAGGGACCTAAAATTTTATATTAAACTATATTTTCCTCAACTTTCCACAAGCTTCACATTTATATGCTCTGTCTTGGGGGGGAAGGGATGTGGATGGTAAAGGCTCAAGTAAAATTTAATCTTTGTTCCCCTTTGTATTACACTTATTTTAAAATAAAAATCTCCGCGTTGCACTCAACAATTTGGCCAAAACATAATTCTATTTTATGTCACTCTTGGTGCTTAATAAGACCTAAAACTATTGAAATAATCATCATAGAAACTGAGAAGGAGAAGAGACAAAAAAGATTAGTCTCTGTTGCCTGTTCTCCTACTACACGTCAGATAAAATTAAAACGACACAACTCCACTGACTGGTCATCTTGAAACAAAGAACAAAAGCTTAATCACATATCTAGACAGGGCAATTAAAGTCACAACCACAGAAATCTAATTCTCCAAGCACATCCATGCATAATAACCACTTTTGGAAATGTGGTCTATACTGAAAAGCCTCTGTGTCTGTATAGAATCTGTACTTTTTAATTATGAGGCATTTCACATAAAGAAGATGCGGGGGGGCAGGGAGGAATCCAACAAACCCTGGGAGGAGGCCTGTCCTCCACAGACTCTGAAACGAGTAGGTTTCTAGCACCAGCTTGGAAGAAAGAAAACAGACAGTACTTTTCCCAGAATTCACTGCAAACCTGCTCTCTGAGAAGTAGAAAGAGTACGATGGCTTGTGGAACAGAGGAGCTCTGGGTTCAAATACCAGTTCTGCTTCTCATCACATGTGTGACATTAGGCACATTACTTAACCTCTCTGGACCTTATCCCTTCTTTGGGATAAAAATATCTCCTTGAAATGGATTTTCGCTTAATAACCTGAGGAGATCCCATATAGAAAACATCTGGCTTAGCAAGGTCTTAGTAAACATTCATCCTTTTTTGTTTTCCCTTCTCCATCAGGAATCCTTGAGTTTAAAAGCAAGAAATTCTCTTTCCCAGTGGCTCTGGCAACTTGGTTGTCCCAATTCTTGGGTGAACCACAGGGGTCTCTGTAACCATACCTTACCCAGGATGCCATAGAGAGCTCAACGGCAACCACACATGGCCTATAATGGAATCTCACCTAGTCAAGGAACTAGATGAGATAACCATGGATATACCTCACATGTTAAGAGAATCAGCCCCTTTCTACACATCCAAACAGAAAGATTAGAATAATTTCTTAGTTAGTTCAGATCCTCTGAGAAGCAGACACCAAGACAGATTAAACATGTTAGAAACTTATTAGGGGAAATACCTGTGGGAGAAAATGGAGAAGGGTAAGTCTGACGCTGTGGGAAGAGAGAGGAAAGGAAAGAAGGAAGGTTGGGTGGAAGCTTCCTAGACTGCCACACAATCTAAGGAAAGTGCATCTACAACTTCAGGGAGTCCTCACGCCAAGCTTGGCCATCAGAGGAGTCTCTTGTCTCCCAGGACGGGCCTCAGTACCCCCACCATGCTTGGCCTCATGACAGATCTGAAGGGTGAATTCTCAGGGCTGCCACAGCTCCCTAATTAGGTTTCACTTTTTCTCTAGCTGTAGACACAACCTCGAATTAAACTTAGATGTTTCCAAAAGGAGCACTTAGATATATAAAGCCAATCC